TTTTATGACAATTGTGTTCAATTTTTAATTAAAAGTATTATATGTCACCTCTGAGATGAAAATTTAGGAAATCAGGCAAAATTACGGCAAATTTTGGGAAGTGATACACTTGACGGTGGAAATTCGGGTTTAAGCCCAACTATTAAGCTCGACGAGCTATATTTCCTAAGTCTACACCTAATGATAGTCAAAATAAAGTTTGGTTCGCCCAAAAATTCAGAAAAAAATTTTGGGAGGAAATAGAACCTGGAATTTGACCCTTATTTGAATTCACCCACCTTCGTATCCCGATCTCCTTGAAATGTTTTGATTAAGTTGCTACTCGACGATGGCCACGCATTTGCGCCGGAAGAAATGAGCGTTTAGACATTGCCAAGTTTCCTTTGATAAAAACCGAATTTACTGGGAAAATTGTGAATACATATATTTTTTTCCAAAATTTTCGGGCAATTTTACACGCGATTTAATCTAAAATATCCGCCAAACCCGAATTTGTGCGGTCGTCGACTCCACTGGTCGTGCGAGATAAATGTGTTTTTGAGTGTTTTACCGATTTTTATTTTATTTATTATTTTTTAATTTTTAAATTATTTCGACGCGTAAAAATTCGGATCCAATGTTATTGATAATAGATGAGAGAATCTCCTCTTTCCGAATTGAGGGTGAAATGTCCCTCGGCAAACTCAAAATTAAAAACAAAGATGTTGGAATAGAGAATTTGCAGGTGTCTGAAATTTTAAGAATTTCATCTTTAAAATAATATCGCCTTTAAAACTGAGTGCGAGGATATCCTTGGTTTCAAAATTGAACAATTATTGGAGAAATTATGACAAAATAACCTGATCTGCTAAAATACGAGTGTTTAAATGGATAATGCCGCCAGATGACGTCATAAGGCGGCAAATTTTCTCACTTTTGAATCTAATTCTCTCCAATTTCCCATGTCAGAAAAAAATTATGAAAAATATTGCGAACTCAGCTCATTAGGTACTTTCAGATGAAGCAATAAAATTTGTGTGTGCAAATTCTCAATTACGTCATTGCTAATAGCCATCGGCATTTGTTTCGGTAATGCATGCCGTCCCTAAATAACATAACGCTCTAGGAGGGGAGGGGGGCAGAGGAGAGCGTTACGCCATTTTGTTTTTACGTGTTAAAGGATGAGGACCTACGTCACACATGCGTTATAAGGAGGGGGGGAGGGATAAAAAATGCCGAAAGAGTGCGTTTCGTAAATAGGGACGGTCCCATCTGATCGTAACTAGTCCTGCCTCAAACAGCATATCGACGGTGAAACTACCAAACCACGTATCTCGTTTGCGGTGTTTAAAAATCTACGCTCGCATTTTATTTTTTTGAAGTCGACCAAATCAATATCATTCCTTGAAATTTTCACGGAATTTTCTCCGCACAAAGAGGAAAAATCACAGAAATTTTCAAGACTGGATGTTAAGTAGTTTTTCATTTAAAAAATAAAGTATGACAGGAAGTCTGCGACGTCGCAAACCGAGATACGTGGTTTGGTAGTTTTACCGTCGATATCCCCCAGAGAGAAAATTTCCTGGAGATAATTTTTTCATTTTTCAATGAAAATTTCTGTTTAACCCACGTAAACATGGATCCATGGCTGTATTGTAATGTTGACATCCTTCTCTGTAATCTGGGAGTCGTTCATTGTGAATGAAAAATTACCTGAAAACCAACGTTGCCGGCGACTTATCAGCAAAGAGAACGACAGGTTGGGCATATCTTTCGTTCTCACCACACAGCTGAATCCCTTTCGAGGACGCCAGGGCTGTCGGGTCCTCGCCGTCCATGAACTGCAAGACCCCTGACTGACACCTGCAACAATAACACAATTAAAATTACAATGTGCTCGTTTAGAATGACGTCAGAATTGACAGTACCAATGGAAATGTGGATTGCATTTTGCAAAAAGGAACCACTAGCATTGCAATGTTGCTAAGATTGTGAGACTTCTTTTGTCTTGGAGGAAAAACCCGATTATCCACAAATAGTTTCTGTTTTACTTCCTAAAAACTGTAAATTTAAGACAAAAATTACCATCTAAATTTCATAGTTTTTCACGATTTCCGCGATTTTATTGCAAAAGATGAAGTTGCACAATCTTAATAGCATCATTGCACTGCTAGTGGTTCCTTTTTGTAAAATGCAATTCATTTTTATAAAATTAATTTTTAGGGATTTGTCTGCACATCATCAGAGTTGGCATACATAGCGTGAACAAATCGACATTGGAGACATTGCATTCGGAACAGCGGGCCGATTATTGAAACTGATAGACAAAGCTATAGACAAAGACGACAAACGGGATTTGGAGGGATCCTATTGGCGGAAGCGGGTGGTTGTAATGGACTAACTAACGGCAACCCACGAGAAACCTGACAGTTAGTCCATCATGTTCTTCCTTAGTCTATGAGAACCAATCATGTCAACCAATAGGATCGCTCTATACTCCTGTGTCTTCTTTGTCTATCGCTTTGTCTATCAGTTTCAATAATCGGCTCGCAGAGTCAAAACCTTCAAAGCTACAACCGAAACTTCTCGAAACTTCTCGAAACTTCACAATGAGTCGATAGACAAGGTCTGAACTAGACAACCACGCTACATGTTTCTTTTCAAAATATTATATGGACGTATTTCTATCAAACGGAACTATGTGCATTAAGACATGAGCCCCGAGATCCATAAGAATATATGCATTACAGGGCTCACGTCACGATGCACATAGTTCCGTTTGATAGAAATACGTCCATATGGGAAACGAAATGCGCAACGATAAGTTCCGAAATCAACTTCGAGATGAGATATTTACGAGTCATTTTAACAGAGATCGAATGGTAGTCTTACACTGCCGTGCTAAAGAAGAACGAGTATGAAAATTCAGCAGTTGCCAAATTTCCTTCACTAAAATGTTTATTTTTAAGGAAAATGAACATTTTCCCCATAAATTTTCATGAACTTCAGGTGAAACTGAGAACATAATCATCTGAAAAATTGGGAGGAAAATTTTCAAAAGTTTACCAGGAAGTTTGTGTTTTATCCAAGGAAATTTGGCAATGCCTGAAGACTCAAACCGCGTTTTTTCTCCAGCACGGCAGTATAGTATACAACTTACGTCATTTGCATTGCAACTTTTACATCGTGTTTAGGAGTTGATTTCTAGATTTCCTGTTGTGCAATTCGTTTTCCTCTACTGAAAAAAAAAGTTAAGGGCTGTAGAGACATACCGTTCGTTCCAGCACTGGAAAAAAAACACATTGGATCTAGAGTTCAGACTCTTGAAAATATTGACAAGAAAAAGGACTCTTGATTCAAGCAGATTTACGCTTAAATCAAGGACCAAGCCTCTTAATTTGAGCGGATTTCCTTTTGATTTAAGCTTAAATCTGATTTGATCAAGAGTCCTTTTTCTTGTCAATGTTTTCAAGAGTCTGGACTCTAGATCCAATGTAGTTTTTTTTCCCCAGTGAGTGGCGTGGCATGCCTTGCGATATATCGATAGATCTGCCATTTAAACCTATGAAAAAGGATCGATAACCAAGGTGTTCGCAGTGAACATCCTAATAATCGATTCTTTCCCACAGTTTCAAACGGGGAAATATCGAAAATCGATCTTTCACGCCCCGCCACTGGTCCGTTCCAGTCTCAGAGGCGGAAAGTTCCGGATGCTGGAGCCGTAGCTTCCGTGTGCTACGCTCGGAACCTTCGGCTTCTGAGCCTGGGACGCTGACGGTATGTCTATATGGCCCGTGAGTACGGCTACCTTGGCCGGAGTTTTGTTTTGCAAAGTCGTAAAATTTTGAAGAGAAAGCATTTTGTGTAGTGCTTTGATCCATACTTTGTCTAGTGACCAATTGGACTACATTTTGCAATTTGGAACTACAAATTCCGGCCCAGTTTAAAAACGACGTATGTGCTATTAGTTTCCCTACGCACATAAGAGTTTTTTCAGATGAGCGAGAATTTATAGATCCAAATTGCAAAATGCAGTCCAATTGTGATTCTTCAACACTAGACTGCATCCGTATCAAGTTAATTGCTCTCTAGAATTGGACGTATCTCTACCAAACGGAACTTTGTGCATTATGACGTGAGCCCTGTTATGCATGCATTCTGAGGGGTCTCAGGGCTCATGTCTTGATGCACATAGCTCCGTTTGGCAGAAATACGTCCAATTGCGAATCAAACTCTAATAGCTAAAAGCAGCAGGATAACACTTAGGGGAAATGACGTTTACGAAATTTGGCGAAAAACCGAAGCTCACAAAAGCGCAATTTATGTTGATGGTAACTCGCGGAGAGCGTGATCGTCATTCTATTTGAGTCTCATAATTTTCTTGGGGAGTTGCCGGTTTCAAAGTTCGCTAGAACTTTAATCGAGTTTCACCGCCTCGACCGCAACGCCACCCAGCACAGGCGAAACGTTGGAAACAGACCCTTCCGATGTAACCGAGGTTGTCGAATATACGTCGACCGTCAATAAGCGAATTTTCGCGAACAAATAGTATTCCTCTAATGAATTGATAAATGCTGAGTGATGCCGATGATCGGTGAAAGCAGAAGCCAATCAGAGTTCAGATTTTTTTTTTTTTTTTTTTTTTTTTTTTTTTTTACACGAAATTAAAGAGGAAAATAAAAAAATACGAAACACTAAAACGCAGCAAATTGCAAACACAGCAGACTTGAATTGACAAAACGCAACAACAGAGAGAAGTGACGAAACGAAAAATCTGGTGAAAGATGAAGTTTCTGACATCGATTGCATCAATTCAAAAATCGAATTCAAGTCCCGAGGTGGATTCGAAATTTCAAATTGATGGATTTCACCGATCTCCGGCGAGACCAACGAAGAAGTCGAATATCATTAAATGATACGTTCATTTTTCTATGAAACGGAACTATGTGCATTCAGACATAAGCCCTGAGACCCATAAGAATATGTGCATTACAGGGCTCACGTCACAATGCATATAGTTCCGTTTGATAGAAATACGTCCAAATAAAAATGTGCAATCTTCAAATATCATACAACGGTGAATGATATTCGATCGCGAAAATTCGATTAATGACATACTTCGTCGCGACATTATGAAACTTCGTAAGGGTGGTAGCCAGATAGACCTAACTTGTTCAAAGTGTTTCAGAAACAACGTATATGCTATTGATTTTCTTGTGCGATTGAGAGGTTATTTTCACGAGTTGGTAAAAGTTTAGGGTCGTGCTAATATAGTGTTTCTTATGAGACCGTCCCTAAATTACGTGACGCTCTAGGGGTGGAAGGGGGTCGAGGAAAGCGTTACGCCGGTTTGTTTGTACGTGTTAAAGGATCGGGACGCACGTCACAAAAGCGTTACAAGGGAGGGAGGGGGTGAAAAGCTGAAAAAGTGCTTTAGGGACAGTCCCTCAAAACAGCTTCCTTTTTCAGGGAGCCTTATATGATTTACATTGGAATTAAAGGCGATTGAAGTCCTTAAGATACGCTCGTGAGAAGGACGGGTTTAACAAATCTCCAGCAAAATCTATTGGAATAATTCCTTAAATAGATCACCACACGGGATAAAAATGATTTTTTTACTACAAAAAATAAATAAAAACGGTAGAAAATGTTTACTTTTCAGAAAATTTCAGGTAGATACGAGCCTTACTGAAAATCTGTCTTTCATATGAATTTATGTTTTAGATTTCAGCGGACCTTCCTCGATCACAATGTAAACCACCTGAAACCTCGTGGAGAAAGGAGATATTTAATGGACGATTATAAATACGACTCTCAGAACAACAATGCGCCTCGTCAAATGATCCTCATTTTGTCGATCGGTATTCAAGAAGTTCATCGACTTTAAGGATCGACTCGTCACTACGCAATAATATCGTAGTTCTTAATATGGAGCCCCTGCTAATACGGGCAGCAACTATTCGAACGCGACCGTCGTGGGTTTGCATACGCATCTCTTTGAAGGCGATTTCACTTGCCAGTGCGACGGAAAATAGAAATGCAGTTTAAAGAAACCACATAGCATACAAAAGTTATTTACTTATCATGTCCTTTTGCGAAAAGACGTTTTTATGGATCAGTCTACGCACCTGGTTTCTACCTAAAAAACCCTTTCCGAATAATTTGACGTGATTTGAAGCAGCTGCCTTTTGTTGGCTTGCGTTACATCCTCGCAATTATTGCAATGCACTATTTTTGAGCGTGGACGATTCGTATACTTTTCCGGCGCTGTTTTGAATATGAAAAAACTAAAAACAATAATGAACATTATCGCACGGTCAAAAACGAAGGATTATCTCACGGAGAAAAATTCTATGGAGCGTCAGCAAGAATACCCTGTAAATAATTTCCTCGTCAATTTTTATCTTTGAGGCAACCGAAATTCTCATGGTAGTATTCCAGTATTTGTAACAAGAATTTCATCGGAAACATAAGAAGTCCGGTTGGCCTTTAAAGAAAACCAACGAAGAAATTATTAACAGGAAAGCTCTTCTTCGTCCTTAAACTTTTAGTTATGTGGCTTAGAGAAATAGCAGAAATAGAAAAAATGTCACTCCTTGGAATCTCTTATAAACCCATAATATCGACCTCGAGACACTTTTTATATAATCCTAAGTCACTTTCTGTAGTTTCCGTTCCATCAGAAAAGGCGATATTAGACCAACTTGGCAAAACTGCTGTGCGAAACATGCACTCGTCCGGCAGTGTGGGGTGTGTGCGATGTATCGATTAATCTCCCATTTAAAATTATGGAAAAGAATCGATTATCAGGGTGTTCTTCGACAATCGATTCTTTACCACAGCTTAAAATGAGAAAATATCGA